TTTTTTTTTTTTTTAAGAGACAGGGTCTTGCTATGTCAGCCACACTGGTCTTGCACTCCTGGCCTCAAGCCATCCTCCTGCCTTGGCCTCCAAAAGTGCTGGGATTCCAGATGTGAACCACTGCACCCTGCCCTTATTTTCTTTAGAGCAGTCACCACTTTGAAATGATTTTATTGAGTCGGGGGCGGTGACTCATACCTGGAATCCCAAAACTTTGGGAGGCCTGGTGGGGGCAGATCACTTGAGCTCAAGAGTTCCAGACCAGCCTTAACAACATGAATAAACCCTGTCTCTATTAAAAATACAAAACATTAGCTGAATGTGGTGGTGCACACTTGTAGCCCTAGTTACTCAGGAGGATGAGGTGGCAGGAGCACCTGAGCCCAGGAGGTCAAGGCTGCAGAGAGTCGTGGTTGTCTGGTCAATAGGAGTAAGACCCTGTTGCCCAGGCTGGAGTGCAGTGGCTCGATGTTGGCTCACTGCAACCTCCAACTCCCTAGCTGAAGTGATTCTCTTGCCTCAGCCTCTTGAGTAGTTGGGACTACAGGCACATACCACCACTCCTGGCTAATTTTTGTATTTTTTAGTAGAGATGGGGTTTCACCATATTGGCCAGGCTGGTCTGGAACTCCTGACCTCGTGATCTGCCCGCCTCAAACTCTCAAATTGCCGGGATTACAGGCATGAGCCACCTCGCCTGGCCTAAAAAAATTTTTAATGACAGTATTGTGATGCGTGTGACACCAGCGAAACCAGCGCTGGGTGAGGGGCAACCTATTCCACCTCACTCCCACTTGTCCTGTGTGTCCAGCTAGACTGTAAGCAACTGAAAGGCAGGCTGTCCTATTCTCTCTGTGTCCTTTTGCTTCTCCTCCTCAGCCCTGACCCAGTGTCTGGTGGTACTGCTTTGGTTTCTCCAGTGTCACGAGCCTAACTAAAGGACAGGAGGTGGCTGGTCACCAGCATCCTCCCACAAACTCTCACCTGCCCACTTGTTTATAACCTCAGTAGTTGATGTGAAGTACTCATATTTATACTCACGGATCCTGGTGCGTATAAGGTCAGAGCCTCCAGTGCACTTTTCCTTTCACTTGCTTAAGAAATGTTTATAGGCCGGGTGTGGTGGCTCACACCTGTAATCCCAGCACTTGGGAGGCCAAGGCGGGCAGATGACAAGGTGAGGAGATCGAGACCATCCTGGCCAACACGGCGAAACCCCGTCTCTACTAAAAATACAAAATTAGCCAGGTATGGTGTGGGGGGGGGGCGCCTGTAGTCCCAGCTACTCAGGAGGCTGAGGCAGGAGAATCACTTCAGCTAGGGAGTTGGAGGTTGCAGTGAGCCAAGATCGCGCCACTGTACTCCAGCCTGGCAACAAAGCAAGACTTTGTTTCAAAAAAAAAAAAAAATGTTTATTGAATTTCTATTATTTGCCAAGCCCTGTGAATACAGAGATAATCTTCCTGTCTAGATCTTGATCCTGTATGTACTTTGTGCTCAATGAGTCTATAAGCCACAGTTATAAATCATGTAAAGCACTACTGCAAATGCTCCCCACAAGCCAGATGTGGCACGTGCCTGTAGTCCCAGGCTAAGGATGGAGGATCCATTGAGCCCAGGAGATTGAGGCTGCAGTGAGCCATGATCACACCACTGACTCCAGCCTGGGTGATGGAATGAGATCCTGTCTCGAAAACAAACAAAAAACCCAAATGCTGCCCACAAATGTCTATACCGATCCTGTGAGATATTACTAATTAGTATGTCCCAATTTTTATATATAATTAGAAAATGAGTCTTGACCTTTCAGCTGAGAAGTTGAACTCGATGCCAATGCCCATGCCCAGGACACGGCACATTCTGCCTCCTGAATGTGATACCTATGGAGGATGTGGTGCTTGAATTTACCCAAGTCTCCAAAAGGGTGCATCCTATGTTACAGAAGAAATAGGTCTAAATCCTTATCAGACCAAAATTTCATCTTTTTAAAATTATTATTACTATTTTGAGACAGTCTGCTCTGTCGCCCAGGCTGGAGTGCAGTGGTGCAATCTCAGCTCACTGCAACCACCATCTCTTAGGTTCAGTGATTCTCATGCCTCAGCCTCCCAAATAGCTGGAATTACAGATGTGCACCACCATGCCTGGCTAATTTTTGTATTTTAATAGAGACAGGGTTTCGCCGTGTTGGCCAGGCTGGTCTTGAACTCCTGAGCTCATGTGATCTGCTGACCTCAGTCTCCCAAAGTACTGGGATTATAGGTGTCAGCCACCGTGCCCAGCTTATTTTTATTTTTTTGAGAGAGGATCTCACTCTGTTGCTCAAGGTGGAGTACAATGGTGCAATCGCAGCTCACTACAGCCCCAGGTTCCAGAGCTCAAGCAACCCTCCCACCTCAGCCTACGGCGTAGCTGGGAGTACAAGCAGGAGCTACCTGGCTAATTTTTTTTTTTTTTTTTTCCTGTAGAGTCAAGGTCTCACTATGTTGCCCAGGCTGGTCTTGAACTCCTGGGCTGAAGCAATCCTTCTGCCCCAGCCTTCCAAAATGCTGGGATTATAGGCTTGAGCCACCACGCCAGTCCCAAAGTTTCTCTTTTTCTTTTTCTTTTCTTTCTTTTTTTTTTTTTTGAGATGGAGTCTTGCTCTGTTGCCCAGGCTAGAGTGAAGTCATGCAATCTCGGCTCACTGCAACTTCCGCCTCCCGGATTCAGGCAATTCGCCTGCCTCAGCCTCCCGGGGATCTATTAATATTTAAGGACAAATGGCAACTGTGGATACCCAACATGGTGGGTTAGCAAGAGACCAAATTTTCAGAGGCCAAGAGCCCTACAGGGCTAAGAATCTGGCTGTTCGCCTATGGTTCTTTAGGTGGCATGACAAATAAGGGGATAGGTTTATAGTTAGCTGATTTACTGCAAGGACCAGAGATCATAGGCTGAAGTAAATAAAGGGCCTCCAAATCTGTGTCCTTTGTGCCAACAGGTGTGCCAGGCTGCTCACAAGACACCATGGTATTAGAAAGGATTTCTCTTAGTCATCCGGAAGTCAGGTTTATGGCTGTTTCGCAGCAAAGTTGGGTGTGGTGACCTGTGATTTCCTTGTTATATAGAGTCCTTATAAAACATGCAAGTGGAAGTCAGGGAGTAGGAGCTGTCAAAACTCGACTCTGGTGGGACTCGAACCCACAACCTTTGAATGGCCACACCAGGCTCGGCTAGAAGTCCAATGCGCTATCCGTTGCGCCACAGAGCCGGCTGCTGAAGCCTCCCTACTCGCTCACCTCTGCCTGAAACTGCCCTCTTAGGGAGCTTCTAGGTGTGGTGCTGGGTGTTTGCCGAACTCGGCTGGGGCGCGAACGCGTGCTCCGGGGTTTCGGCTGTGGTGTGGACGGGAGCGCTCTCCCTACATCTGGGCGCCAGGGATGGCAGGGAGGAAGGGCCGGGGTGAAGCCCGCCTGTCTCCTCTCAGACTCTGGGGTCTCTGTGGCCGGGCGGGGCCGCGCGGGTTGGACTACAACTCCCAGCGTCCGGCGCGGCGGCGCCGCCCAAAGCCGTGTGCGCGCAGGGCTGGCTGGGGTCGGGAGCGCTGTAGCTGCGCTGCGCTGCCGGCTCTGCGGCTTCCCTGCCGCGGAAAAGGTGCGGGAGGCTGTACCGCGGACCGGCATAGCCGGTTTGGGTTGCGGGAGGCGGGCGGGGGAGGAGCGCGGCGGGAGGGGCCGGGCGGCGGGCGGGGCTGGCTGGGCGGCCAGGCCATGCAGGGCGCAGATTCGGCTTGGTGCTGCTGAGACCCGGCTCCGGGCGCCCAGAGGTGGCTCATGCCCCCAGCTCTCCCCACTCCGCTACTGCAACCCGAGCCACATCTGGACAGGACGCCGCGCGGCGGAGCTGACGCCGGGTGAGCACAGGCTGGGCGGGTGGGTTACCGAGTGGGGAAATGTGCCGGGCCGAGTTGGGCGAGGTGGTTGCGCCGACCCGAGGTTGGGGGCGCGCCCTGCGGCGCTCTCTCCCTGACAGACGCTCTGTTACGCTGCTGTCTAGGCGCGAGGGCGGTACGCGTGACCCGGGACAGGGGCCCGAGAGAACCGGTCACCCCCTTCTGGCCTCTTCTTGCCCTGTCCCCCAGCCTTCCAGGACGGGTTCCTGCCCCTCTGCTCTGGCAGGCTCTGGGAGAGCTGAGAACCCTGGACCCTGGCGTTGGAGTTGGGACTCTGGTTCAGTACCTCCGCACCCGGCTTTTGCTTTTCGCTAGGGGAAGGGGGAGGTGGTGTGTCAGCGCTCCTTGTGGTCCAGACCATTCCCTCATCCCGGCTTGGAGGCTCTCAAGCCCCTTCACATTCGTGACCTTCAGCTTCTCCCAAGAACAGGAAAACCCGGAGAAAAACAGTCCCATCAGCTGTCCCCTTGAGCAAGTCCGCAAAGCTCCAGGAATAGAACCCAAGAGTCCTAGCTCAGCCCCAGCCAGCCCCTGCAGCACAGTCGTTCCCCTCCCCCTAAGCTCCAGACCCCGAAGATTCATCTGGGTGGTTGTGTGTGTCTCTGTTTTGGGGAGTGGTGCCTTCAACGTTCTCCTCGCCTCCCTTAATCAGGCTTTGCCCCCTGGGCGGTCACCTCTCAAGTACCTCCGGGCTCTAACTCGTTTGCTGGGTCGCCCTCTATCGACCAGCAGAGGCACTGCGATGCTTTAGCCTGTGGGCAGGGACAGAGCTGGGCTCCTTTTCCAGGGAGCTGCCCCTTTGAGTGTTTTGACTTGGCCTGGTGATCCACAGAACCTCCCTGGGTCTCTGGGTGGGGAGTCGAGACAGAGGCTCTTTTTTTTTTTTTTTTTTTTTGAGACAGAGTCTTGCTCTGTTGCCCAGGCGAGATCTCAGCTCCCTAGAACCAGCTTCCTGCTTCTCACTCCTGGAATTCCTTACCTCAAGTACCAAGCCTGGGAAGGGACCCCTGTGGTCAGTCACCGGATTCAGTATGGCTAAGCCTTACCAGACGCTGTCCACTTGGAATCACAGTGGTTTGGCTGCCTGGGCTGGGAGGTGGGAGACCTGGAGAGACGGGTGTTTGGGTCCACTAACTGCTCTGTGTCCACAGGCCACAATGCTGCTTGGGGCCTCTCTGGTGGGGGTGCTGCTGTTCTCCAAGCTGGTGCTGAAACTACCCTGGACCCAGGTGGGGTTCTCCCTGCTGTTTCTCTACTTGGGATCTGGTGGCTGGCGCTTCATCCGGGTCTTCATCAAGACCGTCAGGCGCGATATCTTGTGAGTACCTGGTCCAGCCTTTCCTGGGGTCTCTCACACCACGATGGGCTTCTGGTCCCCTAGGTCTCCTCAGGCCAGACCCATAATCTCTACCAGCACTGGGCAGCTGAGCTGAGTCCCAGAACAGCAGCCTCTGCTCCATACCCTTTCTCTGATGATAGTACCTGGTACCTCCATCTCCAAGGTCAAAGTCTTCTCCCAGGGACTTTCCCTAACTTGAGGGTCCTAGGCCTCAGGCAGGCTTGGCCTAGGACATACATTGAACGCCAGGTGTGTTGAGACATCTGTAAGAGGTCCTGAGGACTCTGTAGTTTACAAGAGGGTAAAGAGGAACCCTGGGGGGAGGCCCTGCCCTCAGGTTGGCAGTGGTGCAAGATGGCACAGGGGGCACTGAGTTCTAGAGCAGGGCCCCTACTCAGATGTCTGGGAGAACTTACTCCCCAAAGAAGCCCAGGTATGCTCCAAGGGGCATCCTGTACCTGAAATACCTATTCCTCCTTGTTCTCCATTAGGTGCCAGGCTAGCTTTGGGGTCCAGAGAGGAATAAGGCAGACCCTGTCTGCCAAGCTCAAATTAGTCAGGAGAAAGAAGGGGACATAGCACATCTGTAAACTGGCAGTGCCATGTCGGCAGAGACCTGAGCACAGCCTTGCTCACTACTATGTCCCAGTACCCAGCACAGTGACCCACACTCAGCACAGGTAACTCAGCATTTGTCAATCTGGGTTGATTACAAAAGAAAGCACAGAGTGGCGTACCCTGAAGGGCAGTAGCATGAAGCAAGGAGAGGCGGCCTCCAGCCAGGGCCCTGGGAATCAGAGAAGGCCTCCTGGAGGAAAAGCGGCTGTTCTGGAGAGGTGCCTTAGTTGTGGTGGATGGAGATGAGTCCAGCCAGAAGTCACAGCATCAGCAAAGGCATGGAGTCCAGGGCTGGGCACAGTGGCTCACGCCTATAATCCCAGCACTTTGGGAGGCCGAAGCACGTGGATCACTTGACCTCAGGGGTTCGAGACCAACCTGAGCAACCTGGCAAAACCCCGTCCCTACCAAAATACAAAAAAATTAGCCGGGCATGGTGGTGTGCACCTGTGGCTCCAGCCACTTGGGAGGCTGAGGTGTGAGCATCATTTGAGCCTGGGAGGCAGAGGTTGCAGTGAGCTGACATTGCACCACTGCACTCCAACCTGGGTGACAGAGTGTGACCCCATCTCAAAAAAAAAAAAATGGTGACAGGGTGGGATGTTGCCAAGTGATTCCACAAACCTATAAAATATCTACTCTGTGCCTGGCACAGGACCCAGGGGACAGAGTGGTGAATAAGACAGAAACCTGTCTCAGTGAGGCTCACAGGGAGAAAGACTGGACAGACCAGCAAACTCATTCTTTATTTACTGTGGTCATGCTGGAGGGGGGGAGCAGTTGGACTGTGGGAGGGCCCGAACAAGGAGTTTGGACTTTTACAGAAAGCTTGAGAGACCTAGGTTTCTGCTGGAGCAGCGGGCTGAGAGGGTAGGAGTTGAATTCTGGAGCTAGAGAGGCCTGGAGTTCAAATCTTAGCTCAGCCACCATCCATGAAGCTTTGAGCAGGCCATGGCACCCTGAGAGCCTTGATTTCCTTCTGTGTAAGAGGAGAGGAGAATCATATGAATTCTCAGTGTTATTGGGAGGCATTAGTGAGACAGTGCATGTTCCCAGCAGGAGCCAGGAGATGAAAGTGTCATAAGGGGTCTAGCTCATGAAGCATAGGCTGGCAAGGCAGCAGCCTGGGGTAGGGTATCAGGACCCCCCAACTCCCATCCATGGCAGACACAGCGCCCTCTCTTGCTCCCACACAGTGGCGGCCTGGTGCTCCTGAAGGTGAAGGCAAAGGTGCGGCGGTACCTGCGGGAGCGGCAGACAGTGCCCATTTTGTTTGCCTCTACCGTTCGGCGCCACCCCAACAAGACAGCCCTGATCTTCGAGGGCACAGATACCCACTGGACCTTCTGCCAGCTGGATGACTACTCAAGCAGCGTAGCCAACTTCCTGCAGGCCCGGGGCCTGGCCTCAGGTGATGTGGCTGCCCTCTTCATGGAGAACCGCAATGAGTTCGTGGGCCTATGGCTGGGCATGGCCAAGCTCGGTGTGGAGGCGGCCCTCATCAACACCAACCTGCGGCGGGATGCCCTACTCCACTGCCTCACCACCTCGCGCGCACGGGCCCTTGTCTTTGGCAGTGAAATGGCCTCAGGTGAGCCCCAAGGGGGCGGGGGACAAGAGGAATCCCATGGGATCTTGCATAGACAACAATTCCCTTCCAGCCCTGCAGAGGCTGTGTGGGTCAGTGGTTAAGGGCATAGAGTGGAGCCAGATGGCTTAGGCTATACCATGAGTAAACTGGAGATCCTGGAAAAGGGACTGAATTCTCTGAGCTTCATTTTTTTCATTCTTCGTTTCTACCTCAATGTTTTCAAAAAGGTACTTCAGGCTGGGCACAGTGGCTCACACCTATAATCCCAGCACATTGGGAGGCCCAGGCAGGAGGATCCCTTGAGCCCTGGAGTTTGAGACCAGCCTGGGCAACATAGTAAGACCTTATCTCTACTAAGAAACTCTTGTTTTGAGACAGGGTCTTTCTCTGTCACCCAGGCTGGAATGCAGTGGTGCAATCACAGTTCACTGCAGCCTTGACCTCCCAGAGTCAAGCAATCCTTCCACCTCAACCTCCTGAATAGATGGAACCACAGACATGCACCACCATGCCTGGCTACATTTTGCATTTATTGTAGATACTTACATTCGCCCTGTTTCCCAGGCTGGTCTCAGACTCTTGAGTTCAAGTCATTTACCTGCCTTGGCCTCTCAAAGTGCTGGGATTATAGGCATGAACCACCATGCCTGGCCTACTAAAAAAGTTTTTAAAAAATTAAGTGGGCGTGATGATATGCACCTGTAGTCACAGGTACTCAGAGGCTGAGGCAGGAGGATTGCTTGAGACTAAGAGGTCAAGGCTGCAGTGAGCTATGATTGTGCCACTTCACTCTAGCCTGGCAGACAGTGAGACTCCGTCTCAAA